TGATAAAGGATCTTTTATAAGTAAAGAATATGAGATAAATTTATTTTTTATTTTTTTCATTAGAAAAAATTTAATTGATCAATAAATTTCATTCATTATTTTTATTAAAGGAAAATATTGGATCCTCTAATATGCCAATTGATAGTATATAGATTCATCTTATTTTGATTTGATTCCAAATGTCATCTCTACTAATTATTATTTTTTTCTTAATATATTAAATAGTCTAAATATTTATTATTTTAGTTATATTTCTATTTAAAGATATTTTATTCCTACTTTTTTATTCTTTTTTATTCTTTTTATAGAAAATATTTAAAGTAAAACAACCAAAGACTTTCAAAAAAACTTATTTTAAGTTTTTTTTTCATGTAATTTTCTTCAAGTATGATTCTAAAATTTTCTATATTTAAACTTTAGTTGATCAAAGAGTTTGAAATTTATTGCTCCACTTTATAAATGTCTTGGTATACTTTATCTTAGGATATCATATTGCGTATATGTTCAATTATGCTGAGATATCTTTTCTAATGCACACTCATTCGCTTTTGAGTTATCAATCTTAGAATTCCACATATATTACAATAGTTCTTAAATTTAATTAATATAAATTCTATTCTTTAATCTATTCTAATTTTATATATATATATATATATATATATATATATATATATATATATATATTTCTTACTCAATAATATCCTTTAAGTGATTAAAATTTCTTTAAAGTATTTAATTTTTTTTACAAAAAATAATTCATGATTTTCTATAGAAATCATTAAAATTTCTATAAAATATTATAATTTTTTTAATAATATAAAAAAAATAGACCAAAAAGATTAGAATATATTAATTTTTAAGACCCTCTTAGCTTGATAAGATGTACTTTTTTGGAATTATTCTATATGATGTTATTTTGTAAGACATATGTGACAAATGTCTTTCAATGGTTATAATCCAAGTAATTCTCATGCTCTATATTTTCTTAAAAATATAATAAATTCATATAATTTAATTTGTCAAAATAAAAGTGCAATATTTTTATTGATTCTTTAAATTCAAAAAAAATTACAAAAGAATTCATAGTATAAAGTTTATAAAGTCCATTGCAAGGATTAAACTTCTCAATAGCTAAAGTGTTTTTTTAATCTACATTATTATTTAACAACCAACAATGTTTACGTGTGATTTTAATAACATGTCTAGAGTTGATACAACAACCAACTGATATCAAATTTTATTTTAAATTTGGCACAAAGAGCACTTAAAAAAGATTTATTTTACTAATGAAATATATATATATATATATATATATATAGCGAGAGAGAGAGAGAGAGAGAGAGAGAGAGAGATTAATGTTTCCAATGCCAATGATTCTATAAGATTTTGTTTAAAAAAATTATACATTTTCTTTAGGAACTATATTAACTGATTAAATTTGTCTTAATTTGCAATAATATGGCATGTAGTGCTTAAGTCCAAAATTAAGGTTCTTTTTATTTAAATGACTCAAACATTTAAGTAAGGCCTATTTCAGCAACTTTGTCATTGCTCTTCATCAACATTGCAGACTTTCATCCTTTTTTAAATGCAATAATTTTAAAATTAACTTCAAATAAAAAATTGACATTTTTTACATTTTGATCTTATGTTGGTCAGTTTTTAAAGTGTTGTTGATAATAAGAGACTATATAATTGTGTCATTTATATTATAATATCAAAATTGGATGAAATATAGATGTTTCTAATATTGAATTATGTTTTGTCATGTACACTTGATAAACCTTCTTTGGCTCTTGTAAGATTTTATTCAATAGTTTTTTGGTCATCTTCTAAAATTTTGTCAATCTCTTCTTTTTTTAATATAGAATTAATTGAATTGGATTAATAATGCTTTTTTATCAATAAGTTGCTTGTTTCTAAGTTCTATTTTGTGTATAATTTTTAGGAGTTTGGAAAATACAAATGTGAATTTTGACAATATATTAATTGTTAAAATTGATTGAATTATACCTTCAAAGCTGTACGTATAAAATAACTCTTTAATTAAGATTTTCTTGTAATTGGTGGTGTGAAGTGAAGTAAGCAATTGGCAAAAAACCAAAGAAGAAAAACCACAATACAAGTGAAAGAAATGAAATCAAATAATTATAATACTCAAAACTAAGTCACAATCTGTTTACTATATTTTCACCTAATAAAAAGTAAAAGTAAAAGACTAAAAATATATATTTTTAAATAAATAATTTTTTTTTATCTTTCCAATGACATAAAAATCATATAATTCCAAGTTACTATGAATAAGTTATGATAGATTAAAGATAAAATGTAAATAATAGAAAAGTTAAGTGAATAATTTTTACCTAAAGGATAATTTGCTTAAGAAATCAGGAATTCGAGCTTCACCAAGGCTCACAAGTAGTACATATGGATTGTCTTAAGAGGCTTTGAAGCCTTAGTCTTATCCTCCTACCTACATCTAAGGTACTACAATCCATATGGGAATTGTGCACCTCTCTTCCTACAAGGACTATACTAGCTGCTAGTCCTCCTATTTTCTATTAGTAAAACTAATGTTTTTGCATCTTTGACTTCACCATGGTGTTAAAAAATCACCTAATTAGCCTAGAAACCTTCTATAGCCTTCAAATCTTGCTTCATTTTTTCATAATGGCTCTCAAGGTGGTAAAACTCAATTTTATCAAAGTCTTAAAATTTTCTCTAAAAATTCATAAAAATTCTAAATAAATTCTAAATAAATTCTAAAAAATCCTATAATCTTTCTATAATATTAATAACCACATAAAGCTATATTTTACTATCTTTTTGATTTTTTATAGTAATAAAATCAATTTAAATCCACTAAAAATCCTATTTTCTATATAATTAATTAAAAAGACATGAAGTTCTTTTTTCATGCTTCTTTGAACTATTAATTAATCATTGATAGGATTTTATAAGTAATACATATAGATAGAGAGCCAATAAAGACATTGGTCTCAATAATTAACTCTTAATACTTAACAATAAGAAAAATAATAAACTAACTAAGATAATTGCATCTAAGTCTTACTAAGATTCCATTTTTATAACTTTCCTTCTAATAAAACTTTTGTAACTTATAAATACTTCTAAATTATAATAAATACTTAGATAGTAAAAAAGAATCTCTAATCTTAATATTTTTATAATTAAATAACTTAAACTATATTTTTAATTAATCCACCAATTAAAATCAATTTATAGGACTCACAAAAGCTTTAGAATAATCTATTGAAAACTAATTAAATTAGTATTGTAGCAACATATAATTGCTTAAAATTAGTTAGAAAATTCTTTATGTCACAAGCATTCTTTAGGTTATTTTTTACTGATCTTTCCTTTGATAATCTTATATCATGTAATGAGATAGAGAACTACAAGACTTTAGATATATTATCTTATTAGAATTTGCTTTACAATGCAATCCAAGCATCTATTGGATCATTTTATTTAATTATAATATCTATTATATTATTTTTACTAATAAAATTGGTATCTTTAATGCCTTATTTTTTAATTATTTGAGTTGGAAAACTTATATATTATATTGTATTCTTGGTATATTGTATTCTAATTTGAATTAGAAGTGTAATAAGTAGAATTTTCATTTCTATTATCTCTTGCATGTTCCTACATCTTAGAAAGACCTTGATTTTTAATCTCCATACCTTGTATTTTTTTTTTTGCTTCTAGTTAATTTTTTTTCTTAGAAATACATTTTATTACTTTACCACTATTTTTTCAAATTTTAATTCTTAGAATTTCTTTTAAGACTACTTGAACAACAAAAAATTTCACTCTTTTGTATTCTAAAATTTATAAAAAATACTAATAACTAGGTATATTTACAAGCTTTCATTGCATTGGAAGTATAACTCATAATATGATCATTTAAGTGAATCATGTCTATTTTATATTATGTTAAAGTAAATTTTTCAATATATAAAATCAAGACAAAGAATATATTCAACTTAAAGGACTTGATTAGTACAACAATTAGAAGTGTTTATGTATATTTTTTATTTAAATAAAATTAAAAAATCATAAAATTAAAATTAAGTATAATTAGGCTCAAAGCAATAAGTATAACACAAGGCTCTGCACATTGGTTAATATCTAATTGAGCCACATCAAAACCAATAAAGTGACTTTCATATCATTAGTATTGAATTTCTTAATAAAGTATAGATACGTGTATTTCATTCAACATTATTTTCTAAGGTATATAATATTAAATAAGATGAATCTAGTCACCATATTTTAATTTTTGAATTAAACAAAAAAATATAATTTGTTTTTCATAAATTTGAGAAAATAATTTATCATCTAAATGGCTTTAAATCAAATTGATTGGATGTATTTCATATTGATTGGAAAAAAAAAAAAATGCCAACTTATAGATACAATATAATCAAGAATAATAAAATATAGTGAATTTGGAATACTATTCCACATTTTCTAGATACAAGAAAGATTATTCTTTGTACTCATTACAATTCTAATTCTAATAAAAGTAAAAAATAAATAAGGCAAATAGTTAAAATATCTCAATGAGTTTTTAACTAGTTTAATTTTTATATTTTACAAAGATGCATCACATTAACTAAATTATCTTTTGTAGAAATTATGTGAATATTTTAAGAATTATATTTTTTTTTTCAAAAATTATAGAATTTATTTACAAGTTTTTATAGGTAGTGGTTATGTGATTTTTCACAAAGTTGAATATATAGAAGAGATCTACATTAAAAAGGATAACTAGTTTGAATAAAGAGTGACTAGAAATTGTACAAGAACTGGCAAGCATACTTATAAGTATAAGAAATTAGATAATTTTTGGTCCACCCTCTTCTAGTAACAATAATCATGATGAAATTTTCAAAAAATAAAATCAATTGAAACGATGGTGTGAGGCATTGAAAGACTCAGACTTGAGGTCCACCCAGAGAGAACATGCTCAACCACGATACCCTTTTCGGAAAGCGTCGCCCGACGTCGGGAGGACATGAGGCGCGGTGCTTGTGCGCGCCTTATCCGACGAGCTCCGGCGACGATGAAGTGCTCCTGGCCGCTGGCCATGGACATGATTCCCACCAGCTCCGCCTCAACCCTCAGCTCTGCCCTGCACAATTGTATCTTGCGTGGTTTCGAGGAGCCTCTGCAGCTCTGCAGCATCATGGCGACCTCATGCGGACCCGCCTTCACAGGCACAACGAAAGTGGACTCTCGGCTAGTGAGTTTCTTCGTCGCCCGAACCACAGGGTTTTCGTCATCGTCATGTGGAGTACACAATGGCGCTTTCAAAGCTGTGGAGATGCGGGGCGTCTCAACGCCGCTGCGCAAGGCCCTGCAAGTCTTTGCTATGGCCTCACCCAAGCCCGGGAAAGCCAAGAAAGGTATTGGGGTCAATCATGAGGTTGTGGGTTTGTGGGTTTTTGGCACTCTGAATGCGGCGAATTGTGGTGAACTAGGGTATGATTGACTTGGTTTTTTAAGTTTATCTTGGGTGAATTCAGCGATTTTTCGGTTTCGTGTTTGCTGTTGGAGATTGATGGAGTTGAATGATGTGGAGGATCGCAGTGGTTGGGCTTGTGAAGCTGGCATTAGAGGCTGGAAAGGCTACCCCTGCGCCACCTGTAGGTCCAGCTCTCGGGTCGAAAGGAGTCAACATTATGGCTTTTTGCAAGGAGTACAATGCAAAGACCGCAGACAAGCCTGGTTATATTATTCCCGTTGATATCACAGTTTATGATGTACGAGATTCATCATTCTATTAGATTTCTCATGAATATTTTAAGTCGTTAATGTATATTGTAATCCAAATACCGAGCTTGGATTTTGCTTGAATTTGTCTCTCAAATGAAAACTTAGCTTCAAACATAAATTTATGCCTGGTAAAGAGGATAACAAACTGAAGTTTCTCTTGCAATTTTGTAATGCAGGACAGAAGTTTCACGTTCATTTTGAAGACACCCCCAGCATCAGTTCTACTATTGAAAGCAGCTGGTAGGCTTCCTTTGTCTTCATTATATGGTGGTACTACAGGCTTTGCTGATGTAGCTTTCATCGTTGCCCCTAATATGCACTGCCACGGTATCCCAGACAGAATGTTCGAGTATATTTTCAATTTTATCGAATTAGAAATAGGCGTTAAGGTCATAAGAGTTTTAAGAAAGATGTATCATCTGCACACAACATGGACACATAAAATCAGATATTCTCCTTGTACAGCCGATTTAGCTTCAGAATAGTTTACTGACACGATTTTAGGTTGCATCCGCCTTTTGAATTTGTTCATTGAATATGGTGGTCAACTTTGTTAAGGTTATCATTACACTCGCGATTAGCTTTCTATCTGTGATCTTTGAATCAAAGGCCTAACAATCTCTGAATTGCTGTTGTCCTCTGGAGCTGGCTTAGATATCTGTACTAATTCGGAAAGTTGAGGAAGATATCTGTACGCTTCTGAATCAAAAGCGTAACAGTTTAGGAAGAAGGGGCTGAGGTTTGAGGGTTCATCTACTTCTCTAGAAAAGCTTGCATTTTGGTAAGGGCTCGTCTATGTCGGTCATACCTTAAGCTTGTAAATAACAAACGTCTTGTGGATTTGCAGGCGCGGAGAAGGGATCAACCGACCCCCAAAAAGTGAAGGTTGGCAAGGTCACCCAGGACCAGCTCAAGACGATCGCACAAGAGAAGTTGCCAGATTTGAACTGTACAACAATCGAGTCTGCCATGAGGATTGTTGCCGGAACAGCTGCTAACATGGGAATTGACGTTGACCCACCTCTGCTAATGAAGAAGCAGAAGGTTTTGTTCTAGATAGTTAGTGTAGGAAGTTAGCCATTCCTTTCGATCAGAATTTTTTGAATTTGTACAATGAGTTATCGAAGGTGTCCGATGCAGAGTCACCAAAGAGGTTAATTTACTTAAGGTTCTGTCCAGCCATCTAGTCTGTACCCACACCTCTTGCCTCTGTTTGGGTTTGCAGACTAGCCCATGATTCTATGCCCTTCCTTGTTTTACTCTTGCTATGTCTGCTGGAGTTGGTTCTGTTATGTGGAGCTCCTGCCGATCTATGTAACTCTTGATCCGACGAAATCAACGTTTTACGTATTGGAAATTAAAGGTTATTCTTTCAGTCTGTTCTCTATGGTGGATAATGCTGCCGAGCTTCATGAACCTTTGCTGCCGTTTATCCTGGGGATGTGGACGTTCTCCTTCTGGAAATGTGTCTGCGCGATTACTGCATTTTTATCTCTCATTCGTTCCGGTTAGGGTTTGTGAATCTTGTATTGAAAATATATCAATTATATAAATCCGGACTAATCTCAACAAGCCAGTCAACTTGGAGATGAAACCCGAAGCGAAATTCCCCGAGTGAAAGCAGCATCTTTCATGATGAAAGTTATGCTAATCTGTCGAGTTCGTCTTCCTCTAAACATGATAATGGATAATCAATTGAAGCTTTCTTGTGGATTGTTGAAATACTTGTCAACTACCATTACACCTTTTCCATCTACCTTATATAAATGTTCTTAATGTTGAGGATTTACAACCATGATTCATTACGCAGTCCCTATGATATCTTACTCATTACCAATTTCATCCAAAATAATCACTTCAAATTTCTCAACTGGTAAATTGGTATGACTGCTTGATTCTACTTTTTGTTTTCCTTCGTCCTCTTCTCTGATTTCCGTCGTAATTCCATATTACTTTGACATCAGATTTGAGAAAGATTTCTTGGGAAATTATGTTTGGAGTCTGTACTGGAGTGTCAAATTTGGCCTCCACTCAGGGATCCTGGATGATGAACATCTTCATTGTGCGGCGCGACAGACATGAATTAGAAGTCTGCATTGTAAACGCGGTGCAATGCATTCGTGTGTCTTGTACAGACGTGGTTCAGAAGTGGGAGTTCGTGGATGGTTCGAAATTTGGGAAATTTTCAACGATCCTCCTTTTTTCTAGGATTGAAGTCAAAGAACAAGCTCCCAATTCGCGCCTGGAAGGTGCTTGGAATTTCATCGACTGGATTCGCATCTTCCTATTACAGTTCTTCAGTATTGACCGATGCAGTGGAAGTAGCTATGGACATACCTCTTCCTCTTAAGCTCTCTGCATCTTGGCTTGTGACATCCTCCGTGAGATTGTTGTGCCGAGTTGGGCGAGGTGGGTATTCTTTGAAATATGAAGCGGCAATCATGAGCAAGCCGAAGAAGCGCTGATGATTTCGTCTTTGGACTGAAGGCCCGTTTTCATTGCTTGAAGGTGGTGGAGGACTGAGTAAGCAATGAGTCTTGTTCATGGCGAAAGTATGCTAGTTTGTCCGAAGCTCGAGATCCGAGTATCTGCGAAATTGGAGCAACGTGCAGATTAACTTGAGGGTTACGTTTCGGGAGGGGTGACTGTCGGTACGAACGAAGAACTTCGGCAATCACCCATGAAAACGGTATGACCCCTGCTTCGAGGGCGCGTTCAATTCACTTCCACTCCACATTCAAGCCCCCTTGCAAAATTTGTCTGTATTCTTACCGATTCGGCTACATGCTCACTAATGTTCATTAGTTAGATAGCACACTTAGGCTTTGTTTCGGGATTTTTCTGTGCTGTGCGGACTGAACATCGAGTGTGAACTGACCAGTGACTGGCTACACAACATTTTGAATATCTTGTTATGCTGCTAGACAATCCGAGAGGGACTTGAGTGTATTTTGTCAAATGCCTGCAAACTTATCTGCATAATTCACCTATATTATGCTCATCGTCTTCACTTCGAATGGTTTCAGGGTTTAGAGGAACACAACTTTTTAAAGCGGGTCTGAATAGGGGAAACACAGTTTGCACACATGCCGAGAGGAAGTATTGACAAAGTTCCCATCCTGCGCGACGTCCATCCAAGTCAAGAGGATGAGAGTGAGCGTGATATTGAGCAGCAGATGGTGGTATATGCGAAACAACTGAGCGATAACAATGCTGTGGTAGTAGGCGATGTTGGAGCTCATGAGGCTGGAAGAGGAAGAAAGCCTGAGCTGGAATCTGGGCATGATCATAGATATCTACTCATGTCGGGGCCTTTGGGCATGTGCAATGACCCCTTTTGTACATCTTGTCCCTATTCTAATGTTGGAAACAAGAGAGATCTTCCTCGAAACAAGTCGATTCGATCCCAGGTACATCTAATTTTCCAATGTGATGTGTGCAAGGTCGAAACATAGCATAGTAACGAAATCGCGGAGGGTCTTTACTTGAACTTCAACAAAAATAATGCTCAATAGTCCTGGATCTACGTGCTCAGAAACTTCTTGAACAGGCCATAGTTTTTCGGATTCTACAGGGAATGATAGACAAAGTAGGAGCAGAGCAATACTTACGGTTTGTCAGGTGAATGGAAATATAAATCCTAAGTAAATGGTTTATCTCTGATCATGGCCATTGCAGGAACGAGAGAAAAGTTGGAAATTTTGGAAGTATGAAGGGGTTTTGAATCCTCATTCCAAGTCAATTCAGACATGGAACAAGGTTTTTGTTGTCTCTTGTTTGCTTGGGATCTTCTTGGACCCTCTGTTTTTCTTCCCACTCTCAGTTGATGAGGTACTTGTACTCGCATCTTGAACTTTTTGGCTTTTGTATTTGAAAGGAGCTCTGGTTCCACACTTAAATGCCACATGCTTGGCAAATAACTTTGTTACTGCGATTATGCTGTGGATCTTTTGTTCAGAACAACAAGTGTATTGTACTGGACTACGGTTTTGCTTCCACTCTTACGGCATTCAGAAGTGTTATAGACTTTCTCTACATTTGCCATATTATTCTTCAGGTGAGTTTGTAAGTTTCATGTGTGCAAGTTTGTCAAGTTCTGTTCTAATCAATGCATCTTTAACGTGTAATAAGTATAATTCTTACTCCTGTCGATAGTAGCTTGATTACATTGACTTTGAGCTGAACTTCACCTGTCTAATCGGAAGTGATAATAGAAAAAATTATTTGGTGTAAAGTGTGAGTCCTACGGAAGGTTCAAGTGCAGATTGTTCTGGAAGGAAGGGTTGGAACCTCGTCATTACTTCTGCCGAATCTAAAACCTGCGTGCATGTTTCACAAAACATACATAAAATGATTAGACTTATTGTTGGACCACTTCTGTGCAGTTCAGGTTAGCGTACAAGGATGAGGATTCAGGAGAAATTGTGGATGATCCTGCGCGTTGTAAGACTCGGTATCTGAGGGGATGGTTTGGGTTCGATGTTCTTGCCGCATTACCCTTGCCTCAGGTGATATTCTTTCTAGAGTGAATCAAGGTCAAGGATTTCTTGAGGGCGGAATCTTATACACTATCTGAACAACGCATTGTTGTCATTAATGTGTTCGGTGGACTGTGGACCTTAAATTTTATCTCCATTTCACAACCATTTACCTCAGAGACGAGGAACGTTTTTTCCAGTGTCTGATACTTAAATCTCACATATATTGCGACCTGATTCCCTGCAGATCATGGTAATGCTGGTGATACCCAATTTGAAGACTAAAGCAACCGGGGCTGCAGGTAACTTCAGAGACTTGTTTAGAGTCACACTTCTTTTGCAGAATATTCCAAGGTTGATTAAGTTCGTCGTCCTCGTTTTCGGGCGTTCACCAACTGGCATCGTGTTCGAGACCGCTTGGGCAAATTTCGTCCTCAATTTATTCCTCTATGTTCTCGCGGCCCATGTCGTGGGATCCAGTTGGTATCTTTTCGGAGTTCAGGTACCGAGTTCCTGTCCAACACACACCCTAAGTTTCTGTCAATGTAGTACTAGCAAAATATATTTTCACGAAATTAGTGATGTTTAGGGTGCTCAATGCCTATCCTTCCGCTTATAAACATTTGCTGAAGTGTGTCATTGTACGTGGATGGCTGCAGCGTGTAATGACATGCCTTCAAGAGGTTTGCCTAGAAGAAAAATCGACTTTGGGCTGTAGGGACACTTTTCTTGACTGTGGATTTGGTGCCCCAAAAGCGCCTTACCGCGACGCCCGCGGGCAATGGATCAAATCAACAAACGCAAGCGGGTCATGTCTAATACAAACCTCGCCATATGAATTTGGCATATACCAACCGATGGGCATGCAGGTCTTGACAATTCATCCGACCTTCATTTGCTCGCACTTTCTTAAAGTATGTTGCAGAGTTTTTCATAACTTCTTAATCATTTTACTTTTTAAGCCTCTTATTTGACTGAAACTCACCACCACATCTGGGATATTCTGGTGCAATGTTCGCTGTAGTGAAGTTATGCCTTGAATCTGTAGTATTTGATCTCTCGATTGGCATTGCAGATTGCGCAACGTCATTCAGTTGTCATAAAATACATATACTCTTTATATTGGGGATTTCTGGTACGCGAGTTATGTGCACGTATTGTTGTTATTTTGTCCATGTTAGAGCAGTCAGAATGCTCCTAAATTTCCTTTGAATACTTTTAAAAGTTGTACAAATGTACTGCTGGAAATGTAATTAACTGACGATGCATTCCGATTCCCTTGAAATTATAACGCTGGATCCAAATATATTGTAATTGTATGGATCTCTGCTCGATCTTGTCACTCGCAGCAAATCAGCACCTTAGGAGGCAACCTTGTGCCAAGCTTGTATCCCTGGGAGGTGCTTTTTACCATGGGTATTGGAGCACTGGGTTTGCTTATGTTCGCATCACTTATTGGCAGTATGCAAAATTTCCTACAAAGCCTTGGTCGCAGGTACGACGACTACTGAACCGCTCATCAGATGTAATACCGTAGCTAGTGGGAGTTGGCATTGTATTCAGATTTGTATTATGTAATCCTGGTACTAGGTTTTGTGCAGAAGCGTGATCCAACTTCGTTTCTATTATGTGGATGTAAATCATCATATGGAGTATTTTACGATCAAAGCTTTCTTAGTAGCTTGTTTCGTTTTCACTTGAAAAATAGGACATATAATTTCAAACTTGTAGAGTGCTGCGTATGTAACAAAATTTGTGCAATGTAGTCCTAAATTCTCTTGAAGTATGCCATCAAAACCTATTTGACTACGCTGAATAAGCTTAAAAAAGAACTTGAAACGCTTTAAATGTGTATTGTCAATGATTCCTTAGGAAACAAGAGATGCAAATGCGACGTCGTGATGTTGAGAACTTTATGGAACGACGACGACTACCACTTAAGATCAGAAAGTAAGATGCTTCTTGCAAGTTTCAGTGTTATTAATGTCATCGATCCTCTAATGTTCCACCCAGATATCACACCTTAACACTTTTGGCGCTGCTATGCTCGTCATTGTTTGTTGTTACTTTTCTGGGGCCTGTTGTAACAACCTGTCACTTACAAATAGTGTTGTACATGGTGTTTCATTTTTTTCATCATTTTTTTTAAGCACGACTTGGATGTGAGTGGCTTTGTAGAAAGGTGCGGCAAGCTGAGCGCTTTAATTGGGTATCAACTCAGGGTGTGGAGGATGAAGAAATACTTAGGCAGCTGCCAGAAGATTTGCAGATGACGATCAAATGTCATGTTTGTGAAAATCTTCTGAAGGAGGTAGATCCCTTCTTGCCTTGCTGTCTGGTATTCGTAGGACTAGAATTTGCAAACTGGTTATTCCTTAAGCATGTTGAGAGCTTTCGAAAGATGTTCAAACTATTTCATTCCTGTTGCATATATTTCCAGCTTTCCTTTATTATTAAAATTTCTTCGTTATATTAATGCAAGTTGGACACCATCTATATGAAATCAATAATAATAAAAAGAAAAAAAAAAAAAAAAAAAAAGCTTATCGACAACTTGTGACCATAATGTACGTCTTGGAAATTATGCACAATCGCACTAAAATTGTATTACGAGTATTGACGCTTTCGTTTCGGCAGGTCCGCTTATTCAAACACATGGACCCAGAAGTGCGAGCCGCCATTTTTGAGCGTTTGCGGGAAAAAGTTTACGTGACCGGCAGCACGCTTTTGCGAAAGGGTTCTCCTACAAAGCGGATGTATTTTATTGCGCGTGGTAGCTTGTCTTGTGTTGGTCATAATGGCTTTATGACCAATATTGGTGCTGGTAAATTTTGCGGTGAAGAGCTCTTGCTCTGGCACCTCGAACAAGGCTCTAAAAATTCCGGTATGCTATGGCTCTTTTTTGTGTTATTGATTCAGTTGTTCGAGTAGTGCAGTTGACGCAATTATTCTTGCCATTCACCAGGAGTTCTTTCCATTCTTATAAATTTGTATTCGTGGTGGACTAGACTGTGCTTGATATTAAACAACTATATTTAACAACTGTTCAGCTGCCAATTCGAGGTCTAATTCATTTTGGACAATTAGACAAAATACGATGGCCAGTCAAGACGTAGAATGCCTGGAGAATGTGAATGCTTTTGTTTTGGAGGTAGATGATGTCGCTTACATCGCCAATCATTTCGGTCGACTCCTACGTACACCACGAATTCAAGGAATCCTCAGGTTTTGTTTCGACTCCAATATGATGAATCGTTCTTACTTACCGCAGTGAATGATCACAGCTGGTTTTTCAGGTTGCATTTTATGTATTCCTAGCATGTAACAAGAGTATATCTCACAATTGAACTCTCCAACTTAAATTCCTTCAACTAAAATAGAAGCCTGAAGTGTTTGACCCAAAAGCAACTGACTCATGCTCAGTGATCATTTTGACTCTGAAACCTAGTTGAATACTTGAGCAGTCGCTTTTGGTATGCAAACATTTCTTTGGTGCTTCCACCTTAATTCAGTACTAATCCCATTTGGGATTAGTAAAAAGCATGAAAGCATGTATGGAAATCTAAAATGAAAACGTGACCATCCGTGTACCTGGTCGTAAAAAGTCCTCCCTTGATACAACAGATTTTCTACAATCGATTCTAAAAAGAAGATACCGTAAATGTGGGTGCAGGAATGACTCAACAGCATATCGGTTATGGGCCGCTGTACGCATTCAAACAGCTTGGAGATTCAGGGCGAAAATCCGGAAACGACGTGCAGCTCGGGAAGCAGCATTTCGCCGTCAAGAGCTTCAACGACAGTCCAACAGATTTAGATAGTGAAGTTGAATTTAGTGGAAAATTGATCCCATTTGTCAGAACGTGGGTTGTAAAATGAGCAGCACACTTCAACAAACTACCACCCGATGACTTTCACCAAAAAAAACACATTTCAGATTATTGACCCGAATTCCCGTCCGTTGCACCCATTTACATGGTTAAGGGTTATGTTGGGTACTTAGAGCTTCGAATACACGTGAATTCTGTTGGAGTCATAGTTCTAGCAACAGATCAGTTGACCCAGGTTACACAAAAACCAGGTGTAAATTCCTTTCACGCAAAATGAATCTACACCTATTTGTAAATTCACGCAAAAGGAATGTTAAGAGACAACACTATTGATCCCACGCAGAAAGAATGTGCAACCACTTGATCTTTGTTCTCTCCTACCCACTTGGTTGATATTCCTAAATATAAAACTAACCAAGCAATGCTTCTTTACTTCTAACCCTTCAGAAACCCTAAAAATTGGAGCCTCTTGCCCTCTCCTTGAAGGGTGAAGAATCCTTAAGAATCGATAAAGAGACATGTGAAGATTGTTTTAGTATTCAATTTACTCTGCCTGTAGAAGCATCGATACATAACAGGCATAGGACCCTGAACGGACATAGGGCGGGTCGCGGAGACAGGGCGTTCCACCTGCCAACACCGTGGTCAAACACAAGAAGAAGAGGGGGTTGGGGCTGAGGTGGAGAGCGGGCCGGGTGTGGTCCCAGTGCGGGTGGACCGGGCCCAGCCCGGGGCGGCCCTTATCCAACAACGTCGGGGGATCGCAACGTCGGGAGCCTCGCAGCAACCAGCACTACCGGCACAGCGCTGGACCATGTCGCCGCACCCAATTGCCACCACAGTCACGCCGTGGATTTGCAGCAGCGCTCGCGAGGATTCACGCACACCCAACAAGGTGGAGCTGCGCCTGCTTCCGTAATGGTGCGTCCTCCTTGTGTCTTGTTACCACTCCTTTTTTGCTAGTCCAGTGCGCAGACAGGACAACGAGCTTGGGTCTTGGTCATGTCTTGAGGTTGAACGCGAGTGAGTAAGCGTCATAGGTTCCCAAATTTGGGAGGGCGGGTGAGTGGTGCTTCGATTCAGGCTTCGGTGACGATGCCTCAATAGCTGTCGCTAGCTGGGCGCTTCTCATTGTGGAGCTGGGTGTCGTGTTTTTATATCCGAGGCGTTTGAATTTAGTCCGTTGTGATAAAATTGGTTGGATTGAATACAGGTTTTAGATCACATTGGAATGTTTTGCTTTTTGTGTGGGTTGTGGGTGATGTGAATTGGGCTCGCTCTGAAGATGGTGTGATGGGGTGCAGGCTTCGGCCGCGTGTATCGCTAGCAAAGTCATTCCCGTGTCGCAAATTTCCTCTCTTAGTAACTCGATTCATTCGAAGTTGAATCCTAATTCGTCGAAGACAAGGTGCATTGATCCCAGACGGGGTTCTTGCCTCGAGGTTCGCTCCCTTTCGAATGGTGCGAGAGATGTGGATTTTCCTGTGAAGATTGGGGCGTTCTTGCGGGCTACGGGGTTCGCCACCGCGGATGGGCCTTCCAATCCCAAGCATAGGACCTCCGATGCTGCAGCCGATGTGAATCTTTGGCAGAAACAAGGAGGCCGGGTCTTTGCACTGTTGTTGGCAACATTGCAAGCGGTGGCACCGATTCCCGTCGATGGACTTGTCGACGAATGGTGCATCAGTCCAGCGGAGGCAGTGCTTTACTCTCCGGATACCAAGGTTCCTCGGTCAGCCGAGGTGGCTCTGCGGAGGGCAATTCCGGCTGTCAATGTTTCTATGAAGAAAATGCAGGAGTCTTTGGAGGACATCTTCTACCTGCTCCGCATCCCCCAGCGCAAACCGTATGGTAAGTGAACGCCTCACCGTGCAACTAAACTTTTCCTGAGTTAAATCATTTAGGTTATGTAGGGTTGTGAATGATAGCCAGTGGCAATGTCCAGCTATTGCGGGATGATGTGCAAGTGAATGGGTCTGAGTCAGTGGCACAAATATATGTACAGACGAGACTAGCGATTGTTTTCTTGAAGAGCTTCGAATCATAAATTGGTTAGCTTTTGCCTTGCAGCCATGGCCGTTGGTGATCATGTAGGGTCGGGAAAGGGGTAGCTCTCATCGCTTCAGTTCTACGAGACCAAAAGTGGGATTGATAACATTGTAAATTGTCTAGGTTCCATGGACAGCGATGTGAAGAAGGCGCTCAAATTAGCCACGGATGACAAGGATGCCATTCTAGCTGCTCTACCAGCTGACCAGAAAGAGAAAGGCACACAGCTCTACAATGATTTGATGACTGCAAAGTCGGGTTTCCCGGGCCTTTTAGATGCTATTGAAGCAAAAGACGCAGATAAAGTGTCAATCCGTCTGGCCTCCTCGCTTGACACCATTGCTCAATTGGAAGTGATGCAAGCTACGGGGCTGGCATTTCTACTCCCTAAAGAGTATCAGGGCTATCCCCATCTTACAGGACGCGCAGTTGCCGAGTTCACCTTGGAGAAAGGTGATGGGTCAACATTCACTGTGGCCGCAGGTGGTGGTCCTCAGCCAGTCGGAATGCTTGAAGTTGTGCTGGACGGTTACTCTGCTCCCTTAACCGCAGGTAAGGATCCATCAGAAAACTCCCCTCTGATGTCAATCGACTCATTTCTCAGCATGATTTGGAGAGAACCATACTGACAAGAAACCATGTGCCTGCTTATTATATTCTTCTTTTACAGGGAACGTTGCAGATATGATCCAGAGAGGTGTGTACAACGGAGTGAAGCTGAGAACCACAGAACAAGCAATCCTATCCGACACAGCGGATCTGAGCGGAGCTGGGCGAGAGCTGCCCATTGAGATCCTGCCCTCGGGCGAGTTCCAACCTCTGTACAGGACCACTCTCAACGTCCAAGACGGCGAGCTGCCAGTGCTGCCACTCTCTGTATACGGCGCTGTGGCCATGGCACACAACAAGACCTCAGAAGATTTCTCCTCACCTTCGCAGTTCTTCTTCTACCTCTACGATCGGCGCAACTCTGGACTAGGTGGGCTGTCCTTCGAGGAAGGCCAGTTCTCTGTGTTTGGCTATGTCACCAAAGGCAGAGAGCTTCTCTCACAACTGAAAACTGGGGATGTCATAAAGGAGGCAAAACTAGTATCAGGAACGGATCGTCTTGTTCAATGACATCAACACGAGTAGGGCTCATTCTTGCAGCTTTGGCTGCTCCTTTTTCTGCCCATTTTGTATCTCTTCATGCGCATGAGACTTCATGTGGTGTCTCAACTTACTTACCCAGTTGGGCTAGTTCACCGCATGGCTTGTGTTTTCTGTGTCTTTGTTTGCTGGTTTTTGGCTCATGCGTCACGGTGAAGGATCACATCCTTTTTGTTGTGGCTTTTGTCACCATGTTTTTATGTCGAGAATGACTGGGTTGTTCCCTAGATGGAGCCCGTATTGGTTATCCCTTTTGCCAGATCTTAGTAATTGTTGAAATAGTTTTGACTAACTTTGACGTATCTCATTAAAGAGCAACTTTTAAATAAGTGAACAGATTAATAATCACACGTAAGATTTTATTGTAGTCTTAAAAAAAATAAAAATAAATAAATAACTTGTATTTTGTATTGTAGAATTTTCTTTATTAGTATTTTTAGGATTGAGGATCTTGATCTTGTAATATTTATTGTGGGCTTGAAAATAAACAAAAACATTTATATAACTTTGACAAATTTTTACTGAACTTTTTTCTTTGAACTCACAAATGCATTTGTGTTTTTTTTTTATAAATTAAACATGTACAATGAAATGGGTTATTCAGTATGTTGTGGTATACAGTAGAGAACGACAAAGCAAAATTATATTTAGCATCATATTCAAGAGTAATTGTAGAATTTGAACAATTAAAAGTCCTATATTATGATAGTTAAACATATGTTTTGCTGAAGGAAGATGTTTTGCTGATACAATGATTATGTTGAAAGAATTATATCACATTACAAGATCTAGACCACTACAAAATAACCTATCCCTTCACACGTCATCTCAACAACGGTAGAGAATGCGATGTGTTAACATGTTTTTATTTTAGATTCATTCATAACCGTACATATTTCAAAATATTGCTAATTAATCTTCTACACAAGAATGCTAAATAAAGAAAACAATAGCAATTGCCAAGGCCAACATTATGTACAGTTATTGAGAAAAATGTAGCACTCGAAAAAACTTAGAATTATAAAAAAATATTATTACAATTAGTGGTAGCAAATTGATGTTATAACATCAATACATGTATGGTTTCCACGTAAACACCCAATTTCGAACATCAATACTCATTTGCTAACCAAAGTGGATACAATGCTTGACAACGGTAATAGAACAGGACCGTTAGGATGACCTCTACAAGCAAACATCTCCGACATTTCATTCATATACTACCGTAAAATTGGTCCTTCAACAGATTGATGATCTATCTCTCGAATTACCATGGACACTGAGTTGAAGGGTTATTACTGTCAGCAGCGTGACTTTGCAAGAGGTCCTTAGTAAGCAGTGCAAGTATCAGGATACTCGCACTTGATACTGCACTTGAAAAAGTTTAAGGCTCACCTGGAAGATAAAAGGGAGCATCACAAAAACAAATCTTAAAAGATAACAATTTCCTGGTACCTCCGTCGTATAAAATGCAATTACGTTACTCATGATGCCGCAATTTGTATATCCAGCAACTAAAGCTCAAAGCAGGCTAGCAATCAGAAATAGTCAGTTGCTGCACAAGTCAAATGCACGGAGGCATTATATCAAATTATAAAAATAATATAACACCTTATGAAGAGATTTTCTTTCAGAAACTATCCTTCAACCTTGTCTACAATACAAAGACTAATTACAGACAAGAAAACACATGGAAGTGAACAGTAGGATTTCATGCAAAGTCGGTTGCAACACCAAGCGTCACACGCAGCTTTACAAAACAGCGTTAAAAAACACTGCTACCGAGAGGTCAGAAGGCTTCTATTTGCTTTAGTACGAGTTCTAGAATCAATCCCAAGAGCTTTTCCTCCTTGAAGCTCAACGTCATGCCTGCATTCCAGATACCACCGAAGTACTGTGACGACTAAAACTCAAAACTATGTCAATCACAACCACCACAAAAAGCTATCCCACGAACAGAAGTATGATGTAAAACGGAAATATTGCAGCTGATATGCACATGTTTCCACTTCCTAAGCCATTAATAGGTTGTTCTTCATGCAGCATAAAGCTTTAAAATGCACATGCGTAGTATCAAGCTCAATATACCAAAGCTCAATTATGAAAAAGAGTAACGTACTGGAAAACGAAGTCTGGAATGGTCAACTGCTCCCGAGGAACATATCTGAACAGATCCGCTAACTTATCTACATATACAACCTTCTTCCAAACCTGATAAACAATAGGCGAAATGGGCTGGTTTCAGTCCAGAATCACTCGGCAAAAAAATCCATAAGCAAAATAATGGGAGTGAAGTAATCATGTTGAAAGAGCAGAAATAACAGGTAAATCGAAGTAGTCCATGTCAGAAGCATTGTTGATATCCTACCTCAGGTTCCACCAATAAACTCAAGGCCATCACTGTAGTTTTCAAACCAATAGTTGGATGCAATATATAGATTGCCTGCCATATGCACAAATTATGAATTAACTACAAATAATTGCTCATTCTAACCTTTTACAGATCAAATTTGACCTAGTATGTAAATAAGCATGCCATAACAAGCAGGGCAATAAGAAAAGAAATGGCGGCCACCAATTCTAACGCCCTCACAGGATTATGAACCATTTTGAATAAAGCATGTGTGTACATACATGTAGATTATGTTTATGTCTCCGGCCTAAAATCTGATGAAGGCGCTTCACCCATCCCAAATCAGGTTGTCTGTAATCAGGTTGAACAACGTGCAGGTTTTGCACAATTCACATCAACAAATGTAAAAGAACAGAACATGCGCTCATTAAAGCTAATACAAGCCGCATTAGTTTACAAACCAAACAGGTGCTTCAGTCATGCCACAAGCGAGGTACTTCAGCAAAAAAACTAGTCTAAATGCGAGTTAACTTACATTGAGAGTGCTGCGGCTGAATGGAAGTACACCATCGAGTAAGGCCTATTAATGAGTGGTTCCATCTCCTGAAATACAGAACATAAACAGAAAATGATATTGAATGCATCCTAACGTTAGACACTAACGAATCCACCTAGCCAGGAAAACTAGGCCAAGCAACTTGCAATGCTTGAATTCCTACATCTCCAACTGAAACACCCTTGAAAGGTAGACTACATCAATATATTGCTTAAACACCAAGATCCAGCTGCATATTCAATAATAATCAAGTAGGAATACCAAAATCACAGGGCCCTTTTCGATGCCAATATCCATGATAAAATCATGCCGGGTAGTATGAACTCACCTTCACAACGTACAGTACAAAACGCTCCAGGTCAAGACAACGGAGAAGAAAATGAGCTCCAACAACCACCATGATTGGTCGCCCATCCACATCTACTCCACCCCGGTACCTACAGTACATTAAGCATTGATTTCAAACACATAACAATGCCCCACTACATGCCCGTTATATCCATGACAAACAAACATGCGAAACATTTACATGACAAAGATGGGTTGGAGCAAGTACAAAATCTTCATCTCTGCAACCTCTGTAAGGTTCACAGCATTTGCCCTGGCAAGAAATCGCCCATGAAGAGAATCCTGTTCAGTAGAAGAGAGGGCAGGAGCCCCTAAACCTCCAAGACCTAACCATCTGCCCCATGCCCATCCTGCCTGGGATTGTGCAGCTTTCTCCCACTGCTCTTTCCGTCTCTGGTCAGGATCTCGTGTCATTGACATGAAGGCTGGGTCAACCAACCCGTCGATTGAGTCATTCCTACACACAAAGAAGTACCAAAAGAATGAGAGATTTCAAAACTAAAATTCAAGAGCCTCCACAGGGGAAATATGAAGAGAAAGGAACTGAACATCATTCATGAAGAAAATTACGAGAGGGTCAAGTCCATAGATGATCGCATTCATGGCTACGAAATTAAGGAATGAGTATAATACACACAGTATCATAGTAACTAGTCCTGTAATATAAAATTGATCCCACATCACACAGATTGTGAGGCTCGTCACGTTCTAAGTTATGTGCCCCAAAGATCCACCTTTTGATAGCAGTTGATCGATAAGTAGGGGTAACATCTCCTGAGACGGGTATTATGCTTGTCGGAGAGCCATCTATCCCAGGCAATGCGGATATTCTAATCTTGCGTTCAGAAATGACTGTTTCTCCATTTTCATCTCCTACATCACTTGGCAGCTTAGTAGCGGCAATCTCCTCCTCATGCTTATCTCTTGGGAAATACAATGGTAGCAATCTGCCCAACAGCCATGCCAGATGAAATAATGAAGCTACCACTTTTTTTTGGATGTAGAATACGATCATAAAAAACGAGTACTAGGAACATCCTGTGATGAAAACCTCTTGTCAAGGTTTCCAACATATAAGATCCTTCTCAGAGCTCGAGCATACTCTGTCCAATAAGAATGATGAATCAGCTGACCTTTTATAAATGTCTGTATCAGTAGAATTAGAGGTGCAAAAGACTACAGCAGTAATCTTGTCCTTGTGCTTCTCCAAGAAACGCCTCACGGTCCCTGTTTGAAGAGGTACATCAGTTGCAGAGGGAATCTGAAGATCCTTTCAAGATACATTAAGCCTTAGACTGCAAACGATAATATCATGAAGTTGATTTTCTCTCTCAAACTTACGTATAGCAACATGCCCAGCAGGCTCTCTTGGATAACCTTTTGCTTCTGTGTAGATGCAAGGAAATGCAATGCTGATGAAACAACCAGCACAAATTTTAGCAACAAGAAGAGATCGACAAGTTAAAAAAAAATGGACAGAACGCACCCGCAAAGTCTAAATAAGGTAAGGTCTACATGAATCCTAAAAACAAGCACCATCAGTACATGCTGTGCAGTGTGACGACATGAAATTAAAACCAAAAGTGAACCTCATTGAAGGAAACGATGATCCTCTAAGCCGCATAGTCAACTGAAGAGAATATTGTCCATTAAAATGTGTCAAGAATCTAACCTTGAAAGCTCCTGCTCGATTAGAAGTTCCAGACATGATCGATAGCAATGACTAAGGGCGTTTTCGGCTGCGGTATGGTACCGTACTGCATACCTAGGCCCTACTGTGTGAATTACACGCCTGCAAATTAACCAAGACAAACCTCAATTTATACTGCCTTCATCTGAATTGTAAATACGAATGATTACTAAAGTTTTATCGATGTAGACTCCACAGCGATAGATGTATGTATGTGTGTGTGTGTATATATATATATATATATAGATGAACACCTCTGAAGCAATGAAGCAGTTCTAAATTAGGAACACACCTTGCAGGTAGATCATAGCCACTCGTGACTTTGGCCAATCCGGTTCGGCACCCTCCCTGTCCATGAGCGTCAGCTTATCCTTACCACCGTAAAAAACTTATAATACAGATACAGTAATTGTCAAGGGGCACTCCTAATTATAGGTTTAACACACATCCATATAGCACCAGAATGAATACGAATAAAAAAATCGCATAGATTGCGTTTAAGACTGGATGCCAAGAAGACATGGTACACTTCAAGAATATACTTTGCTTTGTCTAGATCACACCGAAGTAGAGACCGCAAGATTATGTTATCTAAAACACCTAGATTTTAATAGAGACACAGGCGCAGTGTACAAACGAATGGTTCATTCACTATTGACAATTCGCAAGCAACAATGCAGATAACCCTCGCAAATTATGACATCAGCCATGGCAAAACACATACTAGCAAGGGGTCTCAAAAGCTTACCAGAGCAGCGCACTCCTCCGCAAGCCCAGGTCCAGCCGCCGGGTGCAAGCCAGGACTGCTGTGTGCTTCATCCAGGTTCTGTTCACCATATTCCGGAGTTTCAGCAGTACAACACAGTTAGATGAGAGTAGTAATGAGGTGTACTACATTTTCTTCCACTTGACTGCTGCAGCTTTGAATCGTTTACCAACATCAGGATAAAATAATGCACAATTTACCTCGTTAGAAGAATTGACAACTGCATCAACTTCTAACACCCACGGGGTACCCCGCCAAAGATAGAGCTTTGCATTGATGTCATGATCAACATGAAACTTGGAAGTTGCTGCATAAGTTGTTCCTCCATTCTCAGAACCTGGCACCAGGAACAAACATTATCACCAACTGCCGTAGGCGTAATCTGCGTATCTCTCTTCATCTACCACCATTGATGGCCACCGGGGAAATGCATTTTCTAGTACTTAGGCCGCTGCCAGACACTACACATCTATCGTACTGAAGGTATCTACAATGTACATGCTTTTGCAGAATCCACGAACTATATCGAACAAGCTGTGAATGCCTGCAATTTAGCATGGACAGATGACGAAGATGGAAGGGTAAAGTAGCTAGGAAGCATGCAGAGAGCGCAATAGGGAAGAAAAGGAGCAGTTCGTTAAATATTTACACTCGTCATCACCAGAGCACGAATAACTGAAGCTACGAGAAGCGAAAAGAGGAATTATAAAAGGCCTCTGCACCGACAATCCGAACACAACTAGTACACTAGAGTCGCCTCGATAAAGACATCACAAGCTTGAACAAACCGAAAACAAACTAACGTTCCAGAAGAAGTGGCACTAGTATAAGATTAAATAATAACTTCCACATTTTATACAATGGTAATTCTTCAGTTAATACTAATTAGATCAAATTTCCACTTTTCTCGTTACAAACAGAAAGAAAATTAAATGACAAGGATTCACGATATCCAAAGGAGGCAAAGCAAACGTCCCGCTTGACTGTCAAACTCACACGCTTTTACCGAGGTACAATAACAATCGTGCATGTTCTTGGAAAAACAACTAGACACTGAGTAGTCAAACAGGCGCGTGCCATTGACCTAATTCAGCTCCATATTCAGATCGCAGACCTTTGGCCAACCTCCGAAAACCCTTCACTTCTAAGAAGATCAAGTCAAAACTTCTTGGGGAGTAATATAAGGCCGACGCACAACCATAATTACCTGCTAGCGACGTAGTGAGAGGATCAACGAAGCCCCGATCAGAGGTTTCATTTTCGCTGTGACTTGCGGACGGCGAGAGAGGCTCTTGCTCGATCCACCGGGGCACCTGCTCTAGCCTCACTACATGCTGCTCAGGTGGCCCACTCCGAGTGCTCAACCTGCCATACATCCTTGCACGCTCCTGCACCCCTATCGTCCTCTCTTCCCCACCTCTACTGCCCCCAATTCTACATTCCCAACCCGATGCACTAAGAAATTCCGCCTTCCATAACACTCCCTCCCTACCAACTAAAACCTGCTGATCCTCAAACGGCCACCACAGCCTCAATCCACGCTCTCCACCACGATCCCTGGAAAGCACCCCAGCAACTTCAAAAGACAACCAAAATCCGGCGTCGGAGATCTGAAGATTCACGGCAACGCCAGTATCCAATGGAATCCTAAGCCCGCACTCTCACAGCATGTGGCAGAAGAAGCAAAAACCTCGCAGATTAGAAACCAAAACCCTAAGCCGAGGTTGAACTACGCAAGGGAGAGCACGATGCGCAGAACCAAAAGTTGGCGATAAAGTTCGCAGCAAGGGGAATGTACAAGATCCACTCCTCCGCTACCAGAAACGCAGCGGGGGAGATGCGCAACTGGGGCTTGCATGGCCACGTTGCCTGCCTGCGTGCAAGCGAGCGAGATGGGACCCTAACGCCCTCCAATACGTTATGTTTTTTCTGTATGTCTCGCTGTGTGAGAGAGAGAGAGTGGGTTTTTTTTCGCTCGCTCCGGCTTTCCAGTCACGGCGGGGAAGATGAGCTCCTTGCGGAAGTTGTGCTGCTGATACGGGTGAACGTCATTCATCCATTCTCGCTTTAGCATTCATCGCTAGAGTACAAAATATCCTCGCCACGTCATAGACATGGGATATCGATGCTTTTCTCTCTTAGATGCCATGCCCTTCGGATACCCAGGTGCTACTCAGGTGTTACTTAGGTCTCGATACCTAGGTGTAAAACCCGGAATCCTGGAGTCCGCAGGTTTTCTTGCATTTACCATGCATGTTACAACTGAAATCTAATCTGGAATTAGATTGTATTCGGTTCAAAACATGTTTGTTTAAGGGTTTTATTTAAGGCTTTTGAAAGAATAGATTTTTGTAATTATTATGGTTACTGTAAAAAACTCATGTGTGCACTTGTTGCATGTTGTTTTATATTCTAGTATAAATGTAGGGAAATGATAAAGCAACCCAAATTTTTACTAGATCGACCCACATGCCCTGTTTCCAACAATTCCCCTATTCCCAACCATCACCCCCATTTCCAACCTCTGGCCCCATTCCTAACAACAGTTGGAAATAGGGAATGGTTGGGAACAGAGATGTGGGCTCCAAGGGTGCAATGATGCTTAGAGATAGAATGGATCACTTTAGTAAAATTTGGATCACTTTATTATTCCTCTAAATATATATGTATATGTATAATATGCCCCTTTCTCTTTATTTTTCTCCAACATGTGTGGATTTTCAAATTTTAACATATTCAATAAATCAAAATTTCAAAAATCAAAAGGACAAGACATATCAATCTCAATTAAGTATCTAAATTAGATTATAAATCTCTTCATATATATATATATATATATATATCAATATGTGCAATAATATTGTAAGCAATTTTATTGAAAACATGGTTCATATCACATTACAATAACATAATTTGACAAGGTTGGCAACACCATGTCACCTTATATGTCATTGCATTCTAGAGAAACATCTCATCTACATTTGTAGGCTTTCTTGCCTTAATTTCCTAATAAAATCAAAAGCCAAAAATTAGATGGTACCCTTCTAAAAGCCAATAAGAATCATATATTTACATCTATGAAGTACAAAGCCTAAAAGTAAGTATGGTTCCCAAGAATTTTGCAACTCTCTACACTAATTTGTGCTCAGTTCAAGCAAAACAACTAAATCAATAAATCTGCTCGTGGGAGTGTGCATAAACTAAAATCACATAGAAGCTTAGAATTTCGGGGCTGTCCCTTTTTGGACTCTAACTTCACAGCACGAATTCCTTGCCTGAGCTCAGTTACAGGTAAGCAAGATTGGCCAACCATATCATCTCGCATAAATTTGTCATGCTCCCCAACTTCCAATCTGAGTATTGCAAGCTCTGGAACTGAAACCACAGTTTTGGTTGCACCATTACACCTCCATTTCAGCTCATAAGTAAACACCAGAGACAATTGTGTTTGATTTTATCTACTTTTGCAAGGACAATCAATACATGGACCCAGTCTTAAATTCTCAACATGGAAAGAACTAGGACCTTACCTCTAAGTGGAAATACAAACACCTCACTCCAATGAGGTTCACTACACCTTTTTTTCACCTCTGTCCGTTTCTTCACTTCATCATCATGAAAACCATGGATTGCAACCTAATCACACAAACATCAAAGTCATCACAACTATCAGCAACTGGGGGAGTAGTGTGTATCCTGGATCAATTTTAGTGTTTTTGACTTATATTCCTGATGCGTACAGGCCTCACAAATTTATTCTCTTTAAGTATCAGAGTCCAATTGTGTTAAACATAGCCACTCAGGATTGAGTTATTCAATGATCAAATGCCCATAACTTCTGCAGACAACAAAAACCAACAAAATCTGTACCTTCACAAAATAGTCTGGTTTCTTGAAGATGTCATAGTGTCTATGCCAGTCTGTTCCCAAGAGGACTTTCACCTGCCAAAGTAGGCCAACAATTAATGGCTCAATCTTATCATGCTCTTAAAAGAAGAAATTTACAAAAAAATTCTCACTCTAGTTGCTGTGTGTGCATGTAGTGCACTTTGATGGGCCTCTTAGCATATTCAGTTGAAAGGTGATGAACTTTTGTGCATTGCCCTGGGATAAAAAATTGCAAGAAGTAAACAATGAAAAATTGAAAGCTATACTGGATGTACTAGCTGGATGGAAGCCAAATATGAACATTGAAACAGACTTCAAGAGTAGCTTTTCAATATGACAGAAATTCAAGAAAGGATCTTTCCCTTTTCTAACTCAGAAGCAATAAATAAAATATCCCATACAAGTTTTGAGTGAACTCTTCACTATCAAACATGAAAAAATAAATCAATTCAAATCAAATAAATTGGGCCATGTAAGGCTTACAGTCAATTCAAGCTTTGGCTGCAGACTTTTGAAGTCTACTGTTGATCCAGGTAGCAGAAAATCAGGCTTCTTGACATAGCCACAACCACCATTCCTCTTAAAAAATGCTTGTGATATCCATACAGGCCTGTCATGTCCCTGCATGTTGATAGCTGCAACTTGAAGCCCATGACTCCATGCATCAGTAGGATTTGCATTTGATGAGTCAATCCTAAGTCCAAATGGATACACTCTACCCAGATTGGTTTTTGAGAACCTGCTCAATCAGTTCAGGACCACATGTGTTCCACATAAGTAGAATTCAAAAAGAGTATATCTTCTAGGTACAATTTTTTTCTCTTTCCAAAAAGCTGAGTCACCAAATAGTAGTGATATATGAGCACACCAACACCACAATGGGGAATGGGGTGGTAACCAAATGCCAATCCAAATGAACCAGGTATAGCTATTTGTGTGAAATAAAATTCCTTACTCTGTCAAAGAAGATGGATGTTCTTTAATGAGACGATAGAGTTGAGGTTCAGCCAAGTTGGCCATAATTGCACGATCACCAGCAACAAGTGGGCCGCCTTTCACTTGCCGTGCCTCCATCTCTTTAGGCTTCTGACAGTAGATATATAATAGCTCCTCGAACTCGTGGATTTTGGCAATGCTTGGATTTTCATCGTCTTTACATCGCATTGAGGCCACTTTCAATGCCACATTCTTAGCAATTTTACTTTGACGTCTTTGCATCTTTCTCTCCCACTTTGCTTGCACATCTTCCTCTGAATCTGAATCATCTGTCCTCGGAATGGATTTACTACCCAAATTGTCTAAAGTTTCGGGTTCCTCTTTAATCTGCAAAGTAACAATGATGAAAATCACAAAACTAGGATGAAAAGCTCAAAACTCGAGAATCCGTCACCCAAACTTCAGAATAAGGCTATTTTAATACGCACGAGAATCAGCTGCAACTATCATTTTGCATCGAACGAAGTTTACTTCATTGCAGAATAGTGTAGGCGTACAGATAGACAAATTCTGCACCTGACAAGCAACTGATTCACCCGGGGGTTTATCAGATATGATAATACGATTCTTAAGCTCCTCAGGTGATAGAAAGGCGATGGGTGGTCGATGCTCAGGAGAAGGTATGAACATCATATCGCCTAATATTTCTTTCAACAACTGCATTCACAGTGACCAGGGGTATTGATTTGTCAAGATTGACAAATTGGTCTGAATCAAAGGACACTGAAATCCATTTACATTCAAGAAAAAAGCCATTGCATAATCAATTATCGATATGGAACTTACCATAGCTGCTCGCTTCTGGTGCTCTTGATCCAAGTGACTTTCGATAGTGAGAATAACGGGATAGTCCGACGCTGTAAAGGCATGTTTTTTTATTTCCTTAATGCAGTCCTCAAAGTCAACTGGCTTTGTCAAGGTTCTGCCAAGCCAGAATGAATATTGGGGTTAGCGTGACAAAAGCCTGTGTGCTTCTGATCAGATCACATAAAATCTTCGGCACAATCTCGAACAACCAACAAAGTCCCACGATGAACTCACTCAGTGCAGAAACATTATAAAACTAGTATTAAGTTGTAGATTGGATGCATACCCGCCATGAAGAACTTTGATTTTGCCATCCTTGCCATCATGACAATCAAGCTCGATGACTCGACATCCGTTGAGAAGTGCTTTAACAATGGGCCGAGTGCTGCACTTCGACACCAGCTGGTTGCCCGTCAAATACGTATTGTGACTAGCGAAGATGTAGTAATGAGATAACGGTGCTGTCATGTCATCCGTTGGCTGTTTTTTCAGGCCCTTCCAATACAAAATCCAACACAGATCATCAATTACCAAGTAGGATTTAAGTCATCGCCCAAGTTTCACTCCTTTTCTCTTAGTCTATATTTCCTAATTTTCAAGAGCTGAAATGTCAATGCAAAGAACAACGTATACTCCTTGTCACTGCCAGAACACCATGCTGAGGTACTTAACAAGAACTGCGAGTGGATTACAAGTATACGCGATTGCAGATTCGGCGGAAAACTTTAATTGACTTGTATAACCTAAAATTTGTGAAACAAACTACCATAATTTTGAAGTTGGTGAAAAAAGGTTCCCATTCTCCTCACCAACCAGGTTGGCTGGTAGGGAGAGCACCACGTGACTACAGACGAAGAAATATCAAGAAGCTGCGCAAAATTCAACGTAGAAGGAAACATTACTAGTTTAGGAGGACGATAAATGAGTTCTACAAGAAAAGATTAAGGACATACCTTATTGAAAAATTTTTGGTGCCCGTTAGACTCAGGATTAAGGAGAAACTTCACAAACGCGGATATGTCGAGAGTAGCAGGTTGTTGCCTGCCCGAAAGTTCACGTTTAGAGTGTCTTTGGCTCATTCCCGGAAATTTGTGTCGGCCGCTGTGCGCCCTCACGGCCAGAAAGCTTCGTATCTGTATATTAGCTTCCTCATCCGTCACGCCTTCTTCGCCCTGATTCTCCCTCAAAAAAATTGCCAAAGCATGGCTATCCATCAAGGCATTCCCCCCCGTGGCCTTTTTAAATTCTTCCTGGACTAAGTCTGGCGCACGGCAATCGCTAAAGGGAGACACCGCGTGGGGTGCTAAACAGTAACATCCCATAGTATCTTTCGTGCCCATTGTGCAGATTCTACGCTAGCCTAGAGTACGCCCGAAAAGTGACAACAATACTCAGGAGTCCCGATACTCGGCCCGAAGACGGACAATTTTTCATCGGCAAGCCTGAAGAAACACAACCGCAATCATTCAACCCGGACTAATCGTCATTATTTTTTGACCTCTTCTATGCCACTCTGCTTTTAGGAGCAAGGACCAGACGAATCCGCAAGTGAGCACTTGCTGCGCTACGCCCAACTCCCTCGACTATCTACAGCCCAATTCTAGCAAAAGCAGATAATGTAAGAAGCTCACTGCTGCACACTACAATGGAGCGACCTCATGATCCTACTTGATAGAATCATGTCTCTCACACACTTCATCACTTGTCGTTTCTCGCAACGGACACTTGACAACAACCGTGTGCTCAAACTCCACGAGCGCGAAAGGGGTTTCATTATAAGCTCACAACAGCGTTACAACCGCACCCACACCGGACATTTCTACCGATAAGGAAAGACAATCATCCCAGTGGCCAGTGGGCATATCATGGCTCCTTCCTACCTTCAAGGCTCGAAATCCAGCTATTGCGTCTCACCGTTCACGGTGTCTGTCTGCGCTCATTGCACGCCAATGCAACTTGCGACTTCCGAGTTGCGTCGACTTTCAACGAAAAATATGTATTTATACATACATACATACATACATACATGCATGCGTATAGTAGGATCCAGAGTGGGATGCATCGGAGCGAAGCGAAACGCAAAAGTGCGATTGAAAATTTGGAAGCACCGGAGGCAATAATGCGGAACAGAGGCTTTTGAGTTACCGCCGGGATTGACTTTCGACAGTAAGGTGCCGCATGCGACCTCTTGCGCACGTGACCTAAATACCTTCCAGTGCCACGTCTGCGTCCCACCCTTCGCCTTCTCTGACATTTGCCTTGGCAATCTTTCTGGAACCTGGCCCCATCAGATCGCCGCCACGTAGATCCTTCCACTTTATGGGTCCACTTGGACACCCCCGCTCTCTCCCTTGTGTTTTTAAATATTGGTGTATAATACATTTTAAAAAGCACCTTTCTAGTGATTTATTCTTATTTTTATTTTATTTTCTCACTATACTTTACCTTTTGTCACATAATTCTCCCTTTTCTTCAATTGGACTTTGTTGGGTGTTTTCTATGATTTTTCTTTGTCCTTGACTTTGGGTACTTGAGATTCCGTGGGCTTGAGATTTTGCGGATGCTGCAACTAGATATAATTTCTTTTTTGGGCGTATATATGGTCCGGGATCCTTCTTTTTAGGACTTACAGTTGTTTATCCACTGTTCCATTCTTTTTTATTTACCACTTCCAAACAATAATGTCTTATATAAAGGAATCATTTATTGTACATTATTTAAGTGGCAATTTTGGTAGAGATTGCTGTGCTATGGAGTTGTATAATTTTGAGATACGTTTGAATTGCAAAATAAAACTACTGTACAAATTAATACAAAATTAATTATCATACAAAATGATCATACAAAACAAATTTTACACTCATTTTTTTAAATTCAACTTTTTAATATACTAAATTAAAATAATATTTAATTCTAGAAAATTTAATAGATAATACAAATAATTATAATGTCAATATCTAATGTACTTATAATCATCATCTAAATGTTAAATTTCTCGTCAGATAGAAAATTAGTCATAAAACTCCAAATTATCAAGTGTATAGTTGTGTTGCAAATTATAATAATAAAATAGATTGCATTTCTATTATATAACAAACCAATCTCTCTCTCTCTCTCTCTCTCTCTCTCTCTCTATATATATATATATATAGATATATATTCACACAATAACTATGTTGTTAAAAAAAATAACTCAAAATTTTAAAAATAAAAACATTTCATATGCATATGCATATATATATATATATATATATGCAATCATTATGATCTATAATAATACTTATGTATCTATTGATCACTTTGTTTAATAAACTGTATTAATATTTTACTTTTCATTTATTACAGTTTATTAGCTAATTCATATGAAAAAAATTAATTAATTTTTAAAGATACAAAATAAACTTAGCAAGGTCATTATTAATAACTACTAAATATTTTATTGAATTGTGTAGAAAAATGTTTATGATATTTATAAAAATAAAATAAAACATAATTTATTGTATATGACTTGTGCAAATACTAAAGTCAAATGAAATACTTTTAAATTAAAATATTTAATGATAAATATTTTAAAATATAAATTCATAATAATAATAGTATTTACTTATTTAAATTTAATAAGTATAAAATAAGATATCATATTTTACATCATAAATGATATTAATGTAAATGAATAAAAAAACTAAGGATGAACTTATAATAAAAACATAATTTAGAAGCATTAAAAATTTAAACTATAAAAAATCAAATTAAATTAAAAATAAAATCTCTGAGTCAAACACTTTGAAACTTTATTTTCAGTTATAATTTGAATCTCATGATAATATCAAAATTTCAGATGTATAATTTTGTAATTTTTATATATTAGGTCTTATTTTTAATGTAAATATATGATTATTTAATAATTTCTTTTTTTAAAGAAATTATTACATAGAATAATTTTATAAAGTAGTTTCTATTAATATTAAGTTTAATTTTTTTTATTAATCTATTGATAAATTCAATATCATGTATAAATTTCAGAATTTCTTTTGGAACTTTATAAAATTAATTCTTTTTAATATATATAATAATATTTTTTTATTAATTTATTATCCATAACTAATAAAAATTGATTTTTTAAAATTAATTTTATAATAAAAATATATTTATGTAAGTATTAAACATATAATTTCTTCAAATTTTTTTTGATAAATCAAAATATTAATTTTTAGTTGTATATGTTATAAATTATAAAATTTAATAAATATTAAGATAATAAAAATAAAAATATATAATAAAAAATTATTATTTATATAATAAAAAAATTAAAAACTAAATAATTATTTTTATTAAATTATTTGAATTTCAATAATTTAAACCATCTATATTTAATTATATTAATTTTAAAATAATATACATATTTAAGAATTTAAAATCTAATCCTAAAAAATTCTTAATTTAATATTTAAATAAAAAGTCTTTACACAAACAACTTATAACTCAAATATAATGTCAAGGACATGATTCTCAAAGAACTAAGATCAATCTATTCTTGTGTCACTTTAAAAGACTAGAAAAACACTTTAAGATGGTATAAGTTTAAACTAAATTAACTATTGTTAATGACAAAAAGACTAAAAAGTCTTGAAAGAAGACCAAAGAGTAGAAAGACGTTGACAATAGTGAAGAAGACTTCACTCTTGCCTCCATATATACTATCTAATTAAAAGCTACATCGCGATGTTCTATAAGACCTTCAAAATGTGTCCAATTTGCGAGACATGTCTCTAACATACAAAATAAGTTTTATATATGTTTGCTACATATTTAGCTTGTATTACAAGCTACTAATTTGTGTGACAAGTGTCTAACTTGTTGGCCAATTTTTTTATCTATTAATCAACTACAAACACGTATAGAGTCAAATTTGTATCTATGAAGCTTCTAAGAAGCTATGCTTAAGATAATATCAAATATATCTACATTTATCTTTTATTTAATAATTTTTATCTTGGTAATTATGTATGTCCTAGACAATGATGACGACTCCTTATGGAACTCATTCATAAAAAGAGGAATTCCTCCTTTTATGAATGAGTTCCATAAGGAGTCGTCATCATATGTTGAAGATGTCAAAGATACAAAAAATTATATTTGTCACATAATTTGATCTTTATTTTCTTTAAAAGTGGTTGATAGGTCCTCTTTGCCATTAATAATATGTCATACTAAGGCAAAAAGTCCATCTCGTTATTTGATCATTGTTGAAGCTTTTAATACTCCTTTCAAAAAAAACATTTGTAACACCATTATGAGTTATTCTCACTTCTAGTAAAATCACTAAACTTGGAGAATCTCTTCCAAGGTTGTGATATCAAATGCTTTATACTTCACCATCTATTCAAGAAAGAACATGTTGTTCTTGAAGAACTTCATCTCTATTACATCATCTTGAAGGTTGTAATAGTTGCAATGTGTCATTTGATAAATTAGCAAATAATAGTTCTTGAATTGAATTTGCTGATTGTTGATTCTCTATTTTCTTAGTGCCACAAATATACAAAAACTACAAATAAAGATAGAAAGTAGAACACAATCTTCATAAATTATATTTCTTTTATTGCAAAGATTTATTCTTGATCTTTATTTTGATAGATATCATCGAAGAAAAGCATCAATCTTTTTTACTATATTTATAAGATTCTTCATTGACTCCCACATACATTCATTAATATTATATTTGTACCAAAGAACAAGATATTCCAACCTATTTTTGCATTATTTTGAGTCTAAAACTTCTTTGACTTCAAATTCTTTATTAGTATCTATTTCTATAGAAAGAGGTGGTATTTGTCTTCTTTCTTGTATATCTATTGTCTTGTATAGTTCAAAAAGAGATGCATAGAATATAAGATGGATCTTCATAGTTTGCATCTAAAACTTGTATTAATTAGATTAATATTAAGATTTTGAGAGATTTTCAAAGTTAGTAATATACTAGGTGGATTTAGACTTTTAAATTTAAAAATAAGTTTACAAATTTGAGGATTTTATAAATTTTTTAATATATTTACAAGTAATTTTTTTTGCAATTTGTGATTGTACTTGTTATAAATTTTTGTGAGAAATTTGACATTAATTGAGTAGATAGATTGAAGAGTATGAGAGTTTTTGTGGATTATGGTCTTAGATAATTGAAACTAGGATTAGTGAAAGATTTTGTGATTTGATAATATTTGCTTATTTAATTAAAGCAAAAATTAGTGAAAGCAATTTAGACTTAAATATCTACAAATAATCTAATTTTTGGAGCAATTGAACAATTCAACAAGGATAAATCTTTGTTGAGAGATCAACATTCAAATTAAAGAAAGAGGGTGGCCAACAATCAAAAGATTTTGAGAGCTTTTCTTTGAATTAGTAAGTCCGATTTTTTTCAAATTTTTTATGCTTATTAATTATTTATTGATTGAAATCTAAGTAAAATTTTAGTTAAGATCTATGGTTCAACTAATATTTATTGAGATTTCAAACATCTATAGTAATTAATTAAGATTTATTTAGAATTTACTAAAGATTGATTTAAAATTTAGGATTTGATTAGGATTTAATTAGAATTTAAGATTTTATTAGGATTTGATTAAAATTTGATTATAATTTAAGGTTTCATTAGGATTTGATTAAGGTTCATTAAGATTTTAATTAAGATTAAATAAAGATTAGAATTAGGATTTATTTAGGATTTATATAAATTTTCTATTTTAAATATATTTTTAGAATTTGTTTTTATTTCTTAATTTTTTTTATTTTTAATATTTCTTTAAGATTATTGTTATTTATTTAATATTTTATTTTTATATTTCTTGAAAATTTCTTTAGTATTTTTCTTACAGATTAATTTAAGACTTTTTTGTGTTTTTTTTGTATCTTCTTTTAAATTTACTTTGGATTGGTTAAAATTTAATTTGGATTATTAAAGA